ATGGTTATTTTGTGGCCAGCTGTTCAGATGTTACATTTTACTAAGTTCCCACTAGTGTTTGTGTCCGATGTCTTCTGGAAAAGATGAGGTCATGAGAAAGAAGTCTAATTAGATCACAAAGCTGCATACGTCTCTGGGTAAAAGGTAAAGGCGAAGAAAAGAATTCATTATGCTACAAGAAAGAAAGTAACCTTTGGGTACAGAACTTCCATTTTTAATGATTAAGGAGAGAATTTACTATTAGACATTTATTCCTAATAGTGACTTTACTAATTAGGAACTTCATTCATGCCCCAGCATGCACTATAAACTCATTAGGGTATGTTAAATTACAGTATGGCATGACAGGTGATGAAAAATGTAAGGGAAAATTAAAAAACAAATTGAGCTTAGGATATTAGAATACATAAGTGATGCTCTATTGGCAGCGAATTGGACATACACAGTTACTTTAGAAGAGGCAAAATAAGAGAAAATGAAATTTCTCTCCTAGGAATTATTGCTTTAAAATCTTGAATATTTTAATCACACATATCAAAACAGAAACATTTTACTAGAAATTAATGGGAAGTGAGAATTAGGATTTGAACATAGCCCCAAAGTAACTCTCATTTTAAAAATTTACATTCCAGTTATTAAAGTTAAGCAAAAAAACTTGTACTATTAAAATTACACTTGACTACCAAATATTACAGGAGTCTATTCTCTGTTGATTCTTTTTTTTTTTTTTTGACATTAATAGAAGTTGCAGGATTACAAGGAGGATCTAATTAAAGATGAGAACAAAAGCAGCAAGCAGCAGCTTCATTTAAGGCAGAGAAATTCTTTACACTGAGTCTGTTACAGATGGTAAAGTCCAGTTCAGGAGTCAGTGAGCTAAGGAATCATTGCTGAGTAAAAAGTCACTAATCTCATCATGCTTTCCATTTTATTTATGTAAACAATAAACATTCATTTGTTGTTATTCTTTAAAAAAATAATAGACTTTGGCATCTTATATTTTCTGTTTATTCAGTGTTTATTTTTGTTGCAAAGCTGATGGGGCAAAATCAGGACTAATACTACTGTCAGTAGTAGGGTCTGCCTACTCATGTGTATTTCTAGGACTAATGCATTTAAAGGATCCAGGACTATGCAAGTAGTTTCTATCAAGAAGACTGTTCAGGCCAGGTGCAGTGGCTCACGCCTGTAATCCTAGCACTCTGGGAGGCTGAGGTGGGTGGATTGCCTGAGCTCACAAGGTTTAAGACCAGCCTGAACCAGAGTGAGACCCTGTCTCCAAAAATAGCTGGGTGTTTTGGTGGGTGCCAGTAATTCCAGGTACTTGGAAGGCTGAGGCGAGAGAATCTCTGGAGCCCAGGAATCTGAAGTTGCTGTGAGATATGATGCCACAGCACTCCTACCAAAGGCAGCAAAGTGAGACTCAGTCTCAAACAAAACAAAACAAAAACATCAAGACTGCTCAGAACAACCTGAAGTCAGCAATAGAGCAGACAGAGGTGGGGCAGTTTTCAGTAGGTGTCATGCCAGACTTCCTACATGCTTCACCAAAGTTAGATCAAGATATGAGAAAGTACTTGACCCTATCTTTTCAGATAAAGAGATTTTCTTCTTAGCCTTCCCCACACCCTTTGGATTTTTTGTTCTTTAAATGTCTCTAGTGTTGAAAATGCAATAATATTAAAAGTTTGAAAGATCAAGTTCAAATTAAAGACTAATGCATAGTTGGGGTTCTATATGTAATTTGAAATTTTCAGGGCACTTCAATGAATAAATAATATGTATAAATAACAAACAGACATCTGAAAGTAAACTCTGTTCTCTCACACCCCAGATTTCATATTATCTCTATGGAGACATTCAGGAATCAGAAATCTCTCCAAATTCAGGTATCTCCCCAAAAAGAAAGAGAGAGAAAATAAAAAGGTAGCTTTTGATAAGAGATTAGAGAAAGGAATATAATCCCGATGTATTACAACTTCTGCCTAAAGCAAAGTTCTCTCATACTCTGACTGAGTCAGATTTCACACAGGAAGGTCTCCACTCTGGCAGGGTACCGTGGCACAGTCCCAGGTGAGAAGCTGAGTGATTCTATTAATGAAATCCTTGCCTTTGTCTGAACAAAGACCATTGCCCCAGGAGAGCCCTGGAGAGCCACAGGTAGCCTTTGAAAAGAAATGTAAAGCTAAAATTCTCGACCTCTTGAGATCCCTGGAACTCTCAGGACATTTTTCAGTAGAAATGAGATCATATCCTTGGCTTCCCAGGTCAATTTCAAGCTGCCTCCTGCCTATTTAAATCTCCAGCAGCTTTAGAGATAGCAGAGTCCTTGGCGAGTGGGCCAAAGACTCATATCACTTGTAAAGTACTTAGACTTGAAAGGTACTATAAATTCAGGACATTATCTTCAAGGCACCCAGTTAAGAAAATCAAAAGCTATTAGAATTTTAAAATAAGAAAAGAAAAGGTGCTATTCTCCAAGCGCTGCTAGTAAGAGGAAGCCCCTAAATCCAGGGTCATAGAAGGAACTCTGTGAAATGCTTTGATTAGTAAAGGCAAGCTTAGTGTTTTGTTTTTATAGCCATGGGAATACAGTATTCCTGAACTTTTCCATCTTCCTACACTTCTTGCTGTGTTCAATTTCCCAGCAGCAAAGTCCATACACATTCTTAGTATATTGAGAAACACATGCCGACTTGCTTACATAGAAGTACTGTAAACTCTACTGTAAACGCTAATGTTTTAAAATGTCAATAATATAATTAATATAGCAGGGTGTTCAAGATACTACAAATATAACTCACTTCTAGCAGCACTTTCTCTCTGCTCAAAGATGGAAGAAACAAAATTATCTTTAATGAAAATGTCACTGTTTTGACCATCTATTAAAATGGGTCTAATTGTCAATGATGAAGCCATATGGAATGTGCAGTCACTTCACAAAAGAACATGGTTCTTAGAAATGTGTAGTGTTTGCCCAAGTCAGGCTTTTAAACCCTCAAAGCCAATTGTTTTATAGATGTCTTGGAAGAGAGTAATCTAGGGACTTGGATCACACTTGGAAATGCACTCACAGGTTACAGAGTCTGCCTCGTGGTTATGACTTCAAATAGTACACGCATTCTGCAGAGCTAACCTCTGGTTTTGTAAATACCTCGATTGGATTTTTCTCTTAAAGTTTGTAGGAAATCAGTGTGACCATAAATAAAAGGGGAAAGGAAACTGGAAACTAGGATGTTGATGGACAACAATTAGGAAGTTCTGAGCAGCTGTGGCTCTTCTTCCTTGGTCGGTCTACTATCCAGCAAATAAAACACACTGTAAGACAAGTTGGAAAGCAAAGCATCGTGGCGGAGGAGGAGGGAGCCCTTCTGTTTTTGTAAAGAACTGTATACTTTGCAGCCTAAGAGGAAAGCAGGAAAGGAAGTGTTTTCTTTGGTGCTAATCATAATGAACTTAGGGAAAATAATGCGAAAAGAGAGAACTTTGGAGCTAGCTCTTAGGGAGCAATAAGCTTCTGAGAAAATTAGTTTTTTCCATGTACATCTCCATATTACATAGCAATACCTGCCATGTCTCGATGTTTTTAAGAGGGAAAAAGTCATTTCAGCCATGTAGGTAATCTTTAAAATCTTACAGTTAACCAGGATTCAAAATTCTGCTTTTGAACCAGTTTTCTTTCCAATTTTTGCAACTTGGGAAAATTATTTAACCTCTTTAAGCTACAATTTCTTCAAGTAGGTCAAGTAATATATATGACATTGTATTGTTGTGAGGAATAAATGAGGTTAAGTTCTTACTATAGTATCTGGCACCCGTTATATGATTAAAAAATGGTTAAGATATTGTTATTACTGTTATTACCAACTTCACTCCGAGTGTACTACTTACTTTTCGAAGTATGAATATTGGGAGATTTTAGAATAATGTTTTGAGGGGCTCAGAGAATGACACGCCCAAAGGTTTCATTTGAAGCAGAAGCAGAAGTTTGGGTCTGTTTTCTCATTCTCCCCCAAGGCAAACCATAGAAACTGCCATCCCTCTTCCCCAGAGCAGGTCCTAGAAACCAGAATTACTTTTCCTCAAAGGTAACTGAAACCTAAAAGTGTTGCTTTACCTTCCCCCAAACACACACGCTTCTCTGTGTAAGAACTGGCCGTAAAGAAATGATCTGGTACATTGTTTGCTTGACAATCACAAGACCTCCATTCCAGAGAGGGCCCTTCCCCACACTCAGAAGGAAGTAGTGTTGCTCAGAGAGGCCAAGAAGAATCTAGACAGGAGGCCTGGCTGGGATTCCCCACTTAGTCTAGTAGCAGTACGTCCTGTTTGTTTTGTGCAATCAAATTTTTACACCACTGTCCACACTTCACTGAACTTTAGAATAAAAATGGGCAGTTTTCCCTGTATCTTTGGTCTGCGTTCTGTAGGCTCTTGTCTCACTAAGAGCCATGATCTAGCAAATTTTTATGTCTCTTCCCCTATAATCTGCCTTTTGTCAGTTGATTTTTCAGGAACCCTCAGAGGAACAAAGAGGAAATTTTCCCTTCATCCTTTCAGATTCAAATCAAGTTTGAACTTCTTTGACTTTTTTGCATTGAACAACTTGTAAAATTTTCTGATTTTCAGATTAATTTTATACATAATGAAATACTCTATGCTCACACTTATTGTACTGACAACATCTGACCTTGTCTTCATGTGTTTTTAAAAATAACCACCAGTTTGCTATTGGGGCTCATAGCACCTGCCAGTGATTCACGAACAACTACTGGGATCAGTGTTCTCATCAAGTCTGGCGTCATCATTACACTGTAAAACTATGTATTTTCTCTCAATTTTAATTCTTTGTCATATAAAGTATTAAACATATTTCTCAAGGTGCAAAAAAATCACTAAAAATTACATTTCAAAGTAACAAGATTTGCTCTTATAAATTTAAAATGAAGGGCATTATACAAAAAGATGAGTTTCATGATCATCTGTTAAATATTTTTCAGCTCTGATGAAGCCTTCAGTAAAGTCAGTTTAAATTACCGCACTGAACACGGGCTGTCTCTACTTCATTTGTGCTGCATTTGTGGAGGTGAGTACCTTATAAACTAGTTACAGATGTATATCTGATCAGGGATTTTAGCTGCTTAATAGCATATAAGAGAATTTGATTCATACTCCATTTTTTTCTTTTGCTTTGTGTCCTCCAACCCTGGGGGTCTTTAGCTAAAGCTGTTTCTACATGGTAGGATAGATGTTCCAATTGATTTAGCTCTGAATATGTTCCTTTGTGTTTCTGTTCTAAACCAAGTTGCTCAATTTGCTTAGAAACCAAAAAGCACAATGTTTTTATTACATGGTTAGGTTTTATGTTTAAGTCAGAGCTATTAGTGTGCCCATCACCCAAATAGCATTCACTGTACCCAATAGGTAGGTTGTTTCCTGTTCCCTCCTCCATCTCATTCTTGATTTCCAGTGACTTTTATATGTCTTTAAGCCCACATGTGCCCATCAATTAGTTTCAAAATATTGCAGAGTACATGTGGTATTTGTTTTTCCATTCCTAAGATACTTCACTTGGGATATTGGTCTCCAGTTCCATCTAAGTTGCTGCAAAGGCATAAATTCCTCCTTTTTCATGACTGACTCGTACTCCATCATATACATATACCACATTTTTAAATCCATTCATGAATTAATGGGCATTTAGGTTGATTCCACATCTTTGCAATTACAAATTGTGCTGCAATAGACATAGGAGTCTTTTTGATAAAAAGACTTCTTATCCTTTGGGTAAATACCTAGTAGTGGGATTGCTGGATGGAATAGTAGGTCTATTTCAGTTCTTTGAGGAATCTCTATACTGTTTTCCATAGAGGTTGAATTTTCAGTTCCACTGAAAATGTTTAAGTGTTCTTCTCTCTCTCTATGTCCACACCAGTATGTATAATTTTTGGACTTCTCAACAAAGGCCATTCTGACTGAGTAAGATGATATCTCATTGTGGGTTTTATTTGCATTTCCTTGATGATTAGTGATGTTGAGCATTTTTTAATGTTTGTTGGCCATCTTTCCTTCTTCTGAAAGGTGTCTGTTAATGTCTTTTTCCAACTCCTTAATGGGGTTGGTGTTTCTGGCTCATTTGTTTGAGTTCTCTGTACATAGTAGTTATTAGCCCTTTATCAGATATACAGTTTGCAAATATTTTCTCCCATTCTGGAGGTTGTATATTTACTCTGTGAATTATTTCCTTTGATGCACAGAAGTGTTTTAATCAAGCTAATTTATTTATTTTTATTGTTGTTGTAATTGCCTTTGGGATCTTAGTCATAAATTCTTTACTTAAGCCAATTTCTAGAAGAGTTCTTCATATGTTTTCTTCTAGAATTTTTAAGGTTTCATGCCTTCTGTTTAAATCTTTCATCCATCTTGAATTCATTTTTGTGTATTCTGAGACAGAGGGGTTCTACTTTATTCTTCCGCATGTGGCTATCTAATTTTCCTAGCACCATTTGTTGAATAGGGCTTCCTTTCTCCAGCATGTGTTGTTGTCTGCTTTGTCAAAGATCAGTTGATTGTACATAGATGGTTTTATGTCTGGGATCTCTGTTCTGTTCCAGTGGTCTCTGTCTCTATTTTTATACCAGTACCTGCTGTCTTGGTTACTATAGACTCATAGTATAATTTGAAATCTAGTAATGTGATGCCTCCACATTTGTTCATTTTACTTAAGACTGCTTTCCCTATTTTTGCTCTTTTTTGGTAACAAATGCAGCATAGATTTATTTTTTTTTTAGATCTTTGAGATACAACTTTGATATTTTTATTTTGAGACAGAGTCTCACTATATCACCCAGGTGGAATCCAGTATTATCATCATAGCTCACTGCAACCTCAAACTCCTGGGCTCAAACAGTCCTCCCCCCTCAGACTCCAAAGTACATGGAAATACAGGAGCACACCACCACACCTTTTTTTCTATTTTTTTCTATTTTTAGTAGAGACAGGTCCTCTTGCTCAGGGTTTTCTTGAACTCCTGATATCAAGTGATCCTCTTGCCTCAGCCTTCCAAAGTACTGGAATTACATGCCTGGCCCAATGTTGGTATGTTGCTGGGGACTGTGTTGAATCTGTAAATCACTTTAGGCAGTATGAACATTTTAACAATGTTCATTCTACCAACCTATGAGCATGAGATGTTTTTTGGTTTATTTGTGTCTTTGACATAGTCAAAGTATAGACATAGGTATTTTATTTTCTTTGTGGTTATTCTGAATGGTATTGAGTCTTTGTTTTGACTCCTGACTTGATTGTTGTCAATATCCAGAAATGCTACTGATTTGTGTATGCTGATTTTGTAACCTGAGACTTTGCTGAATTTATTTATTAATTCTAAGAGTCTTCTGGTGAAGTCTTTGGAATGTTTTTCTATACAAGATTATGTCCTCAGTGAAAAGGGACAGTTTGGTTGAGAGTTTTTATCATGAAAGGGTGCTGGACTTCTCAAATGCATTTTCTGCATCCCTTGAGATGATCATATGGTCTTTTTGTTTCCATTTATGTGATGAATCGTGTTTATAGATTGATGTACGTTGAACCATCCTTGTATCTCTGAGGTCAAACCCTCTTGATTATAGTGAATTTTTATTTTTTTTATGTGTTGTTGAATTTGATTTGCTGGTATTTTGCTGAGAGTTGTTGCATCTATATTCATAAAGGACATTGGTCTGGAGTTTCTATTTTTCATTGTGTCCTTTCTGGATCTGGAACCAAGGTATAGTAAATCATAGAATGAGTTAGGGGAGGATTTCCTCCTTCTTAATCTTATAGAATAATGTCTGTACAGTGGATACCAGCTCTTTGTAGGCCTGATATAATTCTTCTGTGGCTCTATCTGGTCTGGAGCATTTTTCATTGTTAGATTTTGGGGCGTTTTTTGTTGTTAGATGTTTTTATTACTGTTCATTATTGATCTATTCAGGATTTCTATTTCTTCCTGATTAGGTCTTAGGAAGTTGTTCATATATTTTATTTTGTTTAGTTTATTACCATATCTCAAGCACATTGATTGGTGCTGAATGTATAGCACCCACTCAATAAACTTATTGAATGAATGAATGATTAATATTAATTTTGTTAATCCAAACTAAATTAATTGGACTCAACTTCTTATGAAACAATAACATATAAATATCAACTCTAACCATACCCTTAACCACTTCTCCTAAACAAACTGAACAGACTGTGTTTAACAGGTCATCCTCCCAAATTTTAATACGCCCTTCCAATCTTGGTCGTATCTTCTTTATTTCTCTGCTCTAATAAGTTCTACTGCTAATGATGTTCTGAGGAATACCTGTAAGTAGATTTTTTAAATTTAAATTTTTTCATCAATAGTTAACTAGGATGAATTCTTTCATGCTTTTATATTTTATCTGATGATGACAGCATTAAACCAAAAAAATCTAAGAAAAATGCATCCAGACACACATTATTATAAAGATCTATAAATGTAGTAGAAATACTGTTAAGCAAGAGGGTCAATTAATAGCAAACTTTAGAGATGGGCTGCAGAATGGCTGCTTGACATTATCCTACAGCAGTATGGCATTTATCACTAAGTGAACAAGAGATCTTAAAGTCACTGAGTTCATGCCCACAACGACTTCCCCTTATTTCATTTTTCTTTCTAAGGGAACAAGTCACATGTTCGAACCCTTATGTTAAAAGGGCTCCGCCCATCTCGACTGACAAGAAATGGATTTACAGCCTTGCATTTAGCAGTTTACAAGGTATGACATTTCCATTCCCATATCCTGTATTAGAGTCAAGGACAGTGTGTATCCTGGGGCTTTATTCTACTTTATTTATTATTTCTTTGTGAACCAGTAATAATGGAAAACTTTCAGAATGATCGGAACTTTACAGAAATGGCTGGTTGTCTTTCTCTTCCTTTAGCAGGTATCTCCTATATAGCAGACACTTTCTCTGTTTAATGCTTTCCATGTTTAACTCATTTAATTCTCAGGAACCCTGCAACTGAATACGGGTTATGTGTTTAGCCAGACTTAAGATCAGGCAGTCTGGTTCCTTTGGCAGAACTCTACCTCAGAATATCAAGCTTCCTCTGTGCAGAGATGAGGCTGTATTTGAGAGAAAAATAAGCACACTGAAGCGGCATTTCTTTTCTGCGAACTTTCCCTAATTTTTTTTTTTTTTTTTTGCTTTAGTTGTTTGTTTCCTTACATTAGTTCCTGGTAACTTTATCTCAGTACCTGATGAAAGAATCGATATAATAGTGGATTGGACAAACTAGGATACTCTGTGTTGGGTTTGATACTTGAGATTGTCATAAATATAAATCATTTATTCTTTATTTTTAATAATAAAAATTTCTACATTCCGTAATTATGAGATAAATATCTTACTAAGTTCAATATAAATTATTTCTTTAACCAGTAGCATAAAAAAAAGACAATTAAAAATTAAAGCTAGATATCTAGTTAGAATAGTGATTAGAATCAAGTACAGTTGGCTCATAAGTCCAATAATCTCACGGTTATATTGCATTTTTTTTCTATATGTGTGCGTCTGTGACAGGACTTTATTTCAGCTTTTGGGTGCAGGTGTGCATTGGTGAGGACAGTAGTTTGCCTCTATCAGGATCCCTCTGCACTATATCCTCCCTCTAACCTCCAGAAAGGTTATCATTGTGAGGGAAGTGAGCCATATTTTCCCATGATTCAGATTCATATATTTCTGTTATTCATGGTGCAAATACTCTAACTTTCCATGTCTTTTCTGTGTCTAGTCAATGCCTATTCAATTCTTCTAATTCCGTCTGGGAGAAAGCCTCAATGAAGTGCTAATTGTCTTTAACATTATACCTGCTAATCATCCTGTTAGACTCTGATAGAGGCTGAGTTCAAGGTGTAGTAAACAACATCTGATGTTGACCTTTCAGCTGAAAGGCAGAGGGTGAAAGTAAAGGAGGTGTGAGGAGTAGAAAGCTGATGATGGATAGCCAAGGTGGTGTGTGAAACTATGAATTCTGAATCTGACTGGGAGAGTCCTTTCTGTATTAGTTCATTTTGCTGAGATTTTGCTGGTGCACAAGTGCATTCTGAATGATTTAGTACTACAATCTTTAGAGAATATTTCTTCTCCCTCTGTTTATCAAAACTAAATTTCCATTTTTAGAGGTCTTTTTACTATATTTCTTAGGTTTTCTTGTATTTTACAGAAGGATATAAAGACTATAACTCTTTTGTAACAAGTTTAAATGCATTTGGATTCCTAGGAAACAAAATAGGCAAAAATTCTTAAAAGGCCACTCTGCATATTCCTTAACAAATGTTAAAAAAACAATTTAAGACTATCGTTCCACTTTGTACACAAACACAATATAGAGCAGTTATTCACCTACCAGGAATTAAATCTAGTACTAATTATCCTTTCACAGAACTACCCCACAAAATATCTAATTCATTTTGTGCTCCAGTTCCCACCCCCTATATATTTTTTTAATAAATTTGTATTTTAATATTATTTTAGACTTTTAAAAAATTGCAAGGATAGTACAAGGAACTCCTGTATACAGGAAAAGTGCAGGGAACTCCCGTACACAGGAGAAGTGCAGGGAACTCCTGTATACAGGAAAAGTACAGGAAACTCTTGTATACAGGAGTATATAGCACTTTTCATTTTGTGCTGTTTCCATTATTCTGCTTTTTCTTAACCATTTGAAAGCAAATTGGACAAAGTGTTCCTGGTTGGTATGTCAATCTTTATCTCCTAAGAATGATGACATTCATTTATAAAATCAGAAAATTTAACATCAGTGTGATGCTATAATCTATAATCCCCAAATCAAATTTGATCAATTGTTTCAATTGTATGAGATATTTTTTCTGGCCTATGATTTCATCCAGAATCATGCATTTTCAGTTTTCTTATTTCTATAATCTGCTTTAATCTGAAGGAGCCCTTCAGTCTATCCTTGCCTTTTTGGATCTTAATTTTTTGTTTGTTTGTTTGTTTGTTTTTGAGACAGAGTCTCACTTTGTCGCCTCCTGGTAGAGTGATGTGGTGTCATAGGTCACAGCAGCCTCAAACTCTAGGGCTCAAGCAATTCTCTTGTCTCAGCCTCCCAAGTATTTGAGATTACAGGCAGCCACCACAATGCCTCGCTATTTTTAGAGACAGGGTCTCACTCTGGCTCAGGCTGGTCTCAAACCTGTGATCTCAGGCAATCCACCTGCTTCGGCCTCTCAGAGTGCTAGGATTACAGGTGTGAGCCACAGCCCCAGGCAGATCTTAATATTTTTGATGTATATGGAACACTTATTTATACAGACTTTTTTCAGATTGCAATTGAACTTAATTTTGTTCATAACACACAAAATAAACATTATCGCTCCCATGTCTTTCTGTTGGCCACATCAAGAGCTCTTTCAATTATGCACAGTCCACCCTGACATGGTCAGCCTGCCTCAGGACTGGCTATTTTTTAGTCAAAGGTTTTATCTCTGATTTCATTACTAAGAATCTAGAAGATATTTAATGACTTGTGGGTAGTTAACTCTCATATATTTTGTTTTGCTTGTCAATTTTTTCACAGGGGTCAGTTTTATTGAGGTATACTATATTCACCAAAAAATTCACAATTTTAAATGTCAAATTAATAACTTTTGAAAGTGAATGTAGCAGCATAACCACGATCACTATCATGTGATAGGACATTCCTACTGTCCCTAAAAGTACCCTCACGCCCTTTTACCTTTAATCTTCTCTTCCATCCCACATGGTCTCTGGAAACTATTAACATGTTTTCTGTTACTATAGATTTCCCTTTTCTAGAATTTTATATAAACGTATTCCATCCAATGTCGTCTTCTTCATATGATTTCTTGCATTTGTCACAAAGCTGCTGGGATTTACTCATGTTGTTGTATATTCAGTAATTTCTTTTATTGTGGATTTGTATTCCCTTATAATGGATATACCATAATCTGTTTAACTGTTCATCTGCTGATGGATACATGAGTTGTTTCTGGACTTTGACTATTACTATTCTATGCACTTTCACATATAAATCTTTGGGCATATATTTTTATTTCTTCTGGAAAATACTTAAAAGTGAAATTGTTGTTCCACATGATAAATACAGGTTCAATCATATAAGAAACTGCCAAACTATCTACCAAACTGGCCAATCCCTTTTGACATTCTCATCAACAAAGTATGAAGAGTTTGTTCCCACATTCTTGTCAAGACAGGTATTATCATTTTTTTTAAGCCATTCTATTGGAGACATTTGAGTATTTCATTTTGACTTTGATTTGCATCTCCCTGATAACCAATGTTGTTAAATGGGTTTTTATGTGACTATTAGGCACCATTTTTTTAAAATGTAGTTTCTATTCAAATCTTTTCCCCATTTTTAAAATTTGGTTTATTGTTTTCTTGAATTATAATGGATCTGCATCGATTCTGGATATAGTTCCTTTGTCGAATATACATTTTGCAAAAATTTCTCCCCGTCTGTGGCTTGCCTTATCATTTTCTTACAATGTCATTTAAAGAGTAAAAGTTTTTGTGCATCCTTTTAAACTGATAGCTCTAGGGACTGCAATACAGATCTTCAACATATCACTGCGCCTGCCTGTTAATACTGGTTTACTTACTTAAAGCATGAGAAGCTTATAGTTTCATTTTATCTTCATATGTTATATCTATACAGGATACAAACCCTAAAACATTGTTAGAGTATTGAGTCAAATATTTTTCTTTTAAAGAAAGTAATAGAAGAGAAAATACCTTTGCTTTTCAGCAGTTTGGTTATAATAATCCTGTGTATGGCTTTTTTCAGATAATGTTTCTGGGGCTTATCAGGGTTTTTAAACCTGTAAGTTTATATTTTCATGAAATTTAGAAGTTTTGACCAGTACCTTTTCAAATACATATGTGATAAGGTTTGATAATCTTCCACATATCACTATCTTTTCTTTACTTTCTTCCATATTCTTTCTCTCTCTGTTCTCCAAATTCAGTTACATCTGTATATTTGAATTCCAGTTCACAGCCATTATTTTTGTCATTTTCTCATCTGATACCAACTCACCAGTGAATTGACTCATGTCAGATGTCCACTTTTCAGTTCTAGGATTTCCATTTGTTAAGATGAGTTAGAATATAGCTTCAATTTCTTTGTTATGATGACACATTTGTTCTTTCTTTTTTTTCTTGGGTGGACATAGTGGTTCAGCTACCGGTTTTATATTAGCATTAAGTACATTGGATGCTTGTTTTCTATTCTTGTGATTGGCAAGCTTCATACTATTTTCCATAATGTGAGAGCTGACTTATCGTCTACACCAATACCTTGCAAGCATTTTCCTTTCTCCATACTTTTTCCAACAGTTACTATCTTTTACCTTTTTAATAGCAGTCATTCCACTATACTGAATTGATGCAATAGTGTCCTTTTCTGATGATTGCTGATGTTGGGGATTTCGTCTTATATACGCTGGCTATTTGTATGTCTCCCATCATTTGAAGGAAGACTATATTTAATGCTTTTGCCTATTTTTAAATAGTTACTAGATTTAAATTTTACACTTGAATTTCTCATATATTTTGGGTAGCAATGCCTTGTCAGGTATATAATTTACAAATATTTTCTTCTATTTCTATGTTGTCTCATAATTCTGTTGATTAATTGGTTCTCTGTAGATATATTTTAGCTTAAATTAATCTCATATGTTTACTTTTACTTTTGTTGTCTGGTATTTTGAGATTAAATACAAAAAAAAATTATTGTCCAGACCAGTGTCATGAAGCTATTGCCCTATGTTTTCTTATAGTAGCTTGAGAATTTCAGGTTTCCACTAAGTGCAGTGGCTCACACCTATAATCCTAGAACTCAGGGAGGCTAAAGTAGGTGCATTGTGTGAGCTCATAGATTTGAGACCAACCTGAGCCAGAGTAAGACCCCATCTCTAAAAATAGTTGGGCATTATGGCAGGCACCTGTAGTCCCAGCTACTCAGGAGGCTAAGGCAAGAAAATCACTTTAGCTCAGGTTCAAGGTGCTGTGAGCTATGATGCCATGGCACTTTACTAAGGGCAACAAAGTGAGACTCTGTTTCCAAGAGGGGAAGAAGAAAAGAATGTCAGGTTTCACATTTAAATATTTAATGCATTTGAAGTCAACTTTTATATCTGTATGCGATGAGGGGCTCATTTCATTGTTCTGAATGTGGCTATTCAGTTTTCCCAATGCCATTTATTGAGGACACTATCCCTTCCCCACTGTGTTTTCTTGTCAGCTCTGTCTAAAATTGGTTATCTTTTAATGCATAAATTTCTGGGCTCTGTGTTCTGCTCCATTGGCCTATATGCATTTGTTTGTTTGTTTTGTAGAGACAGAGTCTCACTTTATCGCTCTCAGTAGATAAAGCAACCCCCACTCCCAGGTTTAGGCGATTCTCTTGCCTCAGCCTCCCATCCTATGTGCATGTTTTTATACTAGTTTAGGTTATTTTCTAATTAAAGACTGTATTTTCTCCAAATGGGAATTTATCAAGATAATAATAAAAAAAAACTTTGAAGAAAAAAAACTCTCAAAAAGAAAATGGCTTCCACTTTTTGTATACTTGACCAAATTCTCCAATTAATAGTGACTTTAAATACTATTTAATACTAATTCCTACCTTTAAGAAACTACAGAACATTTTACAGCCAAAACTAAACAATCATTAAGATTGTTTTTGTAATACTCACATTTCCTCTTAGTAATCCAATATTTCATGATCTGTTTCTAAATTAACATATTCTCAATCAAAAGTTAATAAGATACTAACTGAAGATGTTTAATTTATCCTTCAAGTCTAACGTTAAACATTACAATTTCCTGGAGAAACTTCCCTGACCCCTGCCATGTTTGGGTTGGGTGTCTCTCCAAGGCACTCATTGTACCACCCAGTACTTACCTTATCAGCGTATGTACGACACTGTAGTTTATTACCTGCTTATAACTCCATAACTCATTCTAGATTAAGGGTTACAATCCAATGTATTTTCAGGAATGAGGTAGGTAACATCAATGAATGAAGATGTTAGATAATCTGGCAGACAACGATAAATAGGAACTCAGACTCATTGTTTTTGAGTTGTAAGAAGAATTGGTATAGACTGACAAGTTTGACAATGTGTGCCCCATGTCAAGGGAACAGTCCCTGTTTAGCTCCAGCTAATCGTTTTCACACATGAATGGAGGCCACTATTGCCCCAAATTTTAGAGAATCATAAGCTTTTGAAGTTTCCAAATATTTAAATGTTGGCCATTAATTCAAACATTTAGTTATAAATACTGTGCAGGCTAAGCCACGTACATCTGTTGCCCCTGTACTCTGTTTGCAATAGCTGATAGTAATTATGTGCACTATCCAGGCAAGGGCCAGATCTAATTGATTATCATCTTATTCTGAGTCTTTAGAATGTTCTCAAGGTATATAAATTCATAAATATGTGTCACATAAATGAAAGAGTGAAGTTATAGTTTAATGTATTGAACTATAACTTCACTCTTTCATTTCCTTAAATAGATTTTCTAAACTGAGGGGAGTGCAGTCCACCTGTGTCTCAGGCTCAATGCGGGGGCGGGGAGTTATCCTAAGTATGTAGGGGGGAGCTTGGTCTCCCCTGTTTCTCTTCAGCTGCAACTTTGTCATTCTGAACCCAGCCTGAGGGCAGAGTGCTGCCCAGCTTTAAAATTATAAAATGGCATCTTGAACCAACATTCATCAAACAGTGTCGCAAGATCCAGGGGGAGTGCCATCCTTTCACATCTTGGCTTCACCTCAGCCTGTGGCAAGGCAGTATGTGTAAAGAGGTAGGGCTCCCCTCCCTGCTTATCTGGGAAGGGCTATGGCTGTTTATGCCCAAATTTAGGCCAAGGATGGAGTGCTGCCTGGTTTTAAATTCCCAAATGGCACTTTGGGCCTATGACCAGAGACGGTAGGGATAAGTACCTTTCTTTTAAAGCATTGTTACTATTGTAGATACTTGTTATATATCCCATAGTTTAAGCTGTAAATTAGATCAGTTCTACAATATTCAAAATTTGCCTGATGTTGGCATTTAATAAGATTTTTTTTTCTATGAGGTATGTACCATACTGCTGACTTTTTAAATTATTCCATTAGGCCAAAATATACCTATAGAGGAGAAGTACTTAATAATGGGGGCTCATTAATTAAATAAAACACAAGTATATCCTCTTGAGTTTTTCCTTGAGACTGAAGTCAAGGGAAGATTAGCAAACTCATATGGAAAATCAGAAGTAAGGTATAGATATTGAAAGTCCAACAGACATGGGTTTCCAGTCTACCTACAAACTACTTAAAATTCAGCAAGTGAGTTAAACTATTTGAGCTAGAGTGTCACCAATTACAAAATAGGTATTTTTTGTTTGTTTCTCATTATTAAGCTTAACATTTTATATGTGATTTAGTTCAAAGTTAACAATTTATAAATGGCACTTACTGTTTTCTTATTCTCTTTATCATAACTGAGTAATATTAAAATTCTATTTTAATGATAGTCAGTAAAAAGCATTTAGATTCAGGGGTGTCCAACCTTTTTTTCCTCTGGTGCACATTGGAAAAGTAAGCCTTGTCTTGGGCCATTAAATACGCTAATGAAAGGTCACTAGCAAGAAAAGGTCCCTGCGTACTTTTCATGATATCTGACACCACAGATAAGCAAACACTGCTCTACAAAATCAGCATATGGCCTGCAGGCCTCGGGTTGCACACCTGTGATTAGATCAACCAGAGGTCAAACTTGTGCAATCCAACCAAGATGTGAGAGGATAATTTATTACTTTTGAATTTTAATCTTGCCATTTGCCTCTTCTGAAGGACTACTTAGATACTTTCTCTTAAACTCCACAGTTGTTGACTAAATCAGGAGAAACAGAGAGGACACTGAGGAAAGGATGAATGTGTGTTTACTAGACTCTGTCTGCTAGATAAATATTTCATATGCTCCGTGATTTACACATAAGTTATTTTAATTTAGCCCAGTTGAGTACTTGTCATAACATAGACATTCGTTAATAAATATTTGTTGGATGAGAGTATCCATCTTTCTATTGTTCATACAAGTTATTTATGTATTAAATATATGAAAATTTGTCAGTTTTATATGTTGTGACTATTTCTCCAATTTGTCACTTACCTTGTAATATTGTGTTTTTTAACATTATAATTTGATCAAATCTATCATAGTTTCCCCTCATTTTTAAAAATAATTTTATTCTCAAAAAGACCTTCCCCACTTCTCTGCATTTAAATTCCCAACTATCTGCAGGGGAAAATGTTTTAAGGTGATGTATTTCTTCCCATTTATATCAGAGACTATTCATGCCTTTAGTACTCCCTAGTCAAAATTAAAGGTTATTAGGGAAGTGATCATTAACTCCTGGGATTCTTTTCTCTGGAGGAGGAACACTCTGAACCTGGTAGTTCATCCACGGCTAAATTGGTAGACGTTTCCTTACTTCCGGTACTGGTACAGCATTTTTTAATGTTTTGCTTATTTTTACTGACTAGTAAAACTCTAGTTAGGAAATGAAGTTATCAGGAAGAGTTAATGGGGGAGGGGGAAAAAGGAGCTAAATGATATAATAAAAATAAAATCACTATTCTATTTGGGAGGCCAACTAAAGCTATTCTGCACCCCACACTTTCACGTCTAGCAGGAGTGAGTTTTTTGAGCATCGTATAAGTGCTTTGTATATATAATCACAACAGTCGTAAGGTATAACCTGTCCTCTTTTTATTTACCCAAGGAGATTAACACAAAGATTATAGAACTTGCCTTCTTTCACACAGTTATTCTTGGAATTGAGATTCTAATAATGGAGACTAATTCCAGGACCTGTGTCTTAACCCTGCATTTTAATATATGAAAACAAATTTTTTAATGTCTGCTTTACAATCTGCTTTTCCCTAATTCTTTAAAACTGATTATGATATTTCTCTGCTATATTACATTTGGAATCTTTACCTGTAATAGAAAAAAAAAAATTTAAACCTCTGAACTTTTTCCATAAATTTTTTATCTCTTCTGGGGTTAATTTTAGTTGTTGGAGAAAGCACATTTATTGGAGTGCCATATATGTAAGATTGGGTTGAGTTTGCAAGATCCTCACCATGGGCAAAGGTCCTTGGTATCCTTCGTGGTCCAGTGGTAGAGGATTGGCTGGTAGTAAACATTTGGTCCTACCTTCCATCCGTCTGAGAGAGGCTCTCTGCTGCCTCCGTGCTCTTACCCTAGAAAGCCCTCTGAAGTTCTCTTTGAGCACCTAAACTGGCTGACAGGCAAAGAATCAATGCATCTTGTTTCACAGCTTTCAAATGTGCTATTCGTAGAAAAGTGACACTAAAGATGCTTTTCTCCTCAGGATAGTGCAGAATTGATCACTTCCCTGCTTCACAGTGGAGCTGATATCCAACAGGTCGGGTACGGTGGCCTCACTGCCCTCCATATTGCTACACTAGCTGGTCACCTGGAGGTAAGTCATGATTTTGTTACCTGTAGAAACAAAGGTTATCTACCTCTTTGGATTCTTGTTCTCAACTGTTTTCAAATGGTGGCTTTTAAGACTTCCGAGGGTTTATTTTTTAGCCAATGAACACATCCTTTTCTTCTGGGAGTAAAACTCAGCTATGTCAAAATGTTTCTGATAGTCATTTCAGTCTGTTTTGTGACAATGTAATCAAAATTTCAGTTAACATCAAGATGGCTTTCTGGCAGATGCCAGCTATGCTATTAGGTTGGGGATCAAGCAGGTTGGTCTTCACAACTTGCTTATGGTAACTGTGGGAAGTTACTAGATCTCGTGACATCTCTGTTTTCTTCATTTATAAAATAGGAATAATAATAGGTCTATTCCCATGATTAAATTAGTTAGCTCCTGGAGAGGGTTTTGCAGATTACTACATGCAGAGTAAGGACCAGATGAAAGATCGTTCACTTACCTGTCCACTAATCCACTCACTAGTTGCGTAAATATTTATTAGGCACCTGTCATACAGCAGATGCCAGGTACTGGGCAATGGTAGCAAGAAAGCTGGGGAAATTTTCCCTTTTCATAGAGTTGAGTTATAAAGAATGAAACAGACAATTAAGAAAAGAAAATATACAATGTTAATTAGTAGTGAGTACCGTGACGCAGAGTAAATGAAGACAGAGCAATGGAGAAAGAAGCAGCATTTTTAGTAAGCTATAGAGTGAAGAAGTTGATGTGGAAAAAGCTCTGAATGAAATTAGAATTCCAGCCATGTCCAAGGAGAGAGAGCATCTCAGGGTTAAGGGCAGCACTTGCAAAAGCCCTGAGGCATAAAACTCCTGTGAATGTTTGAGGGACATGAGTGATCTCGAGTTATTAGAGCAGAGTGAGCTGGGGGCAGAGAGAGGAAGACAAAGTCGGTGGATGGTGACAAGCCAGACACACACCATGTTTTAAAGGCCACAAGAAGGGCTTTCGATTTTACCATAAATTTATTTTTCAAAGTCTATATTTTGCTCTGCAAACCACTTCCATTTGCATTATTTGGTAACTTCACAAATTCTCATGGGATAGTTTGTGTTGTCTCTGCCATTCATTAGATATCAAACTAAGGCACTTATATAGTAATTGTCTTTACAAATTACAAAGCCGTGGAGAAAAAGAGCCATTTCTGAAATCCTGAACATTTTATTCATAACATTTTAATGACTTTTACATTCTATCAATTATGACAACAACACATAACTCTACAAGGTAATAAGTCTTACATTCTCTTACAGTCTTCCTTCTGGTCATGTTGCAAATTAAATCGTACATTCTTCACTAATACACACGTGCACATGCACCATCCGTGAATGAATGGAGATGCGTGCGCTTTCACACAGGAAGCCTACTAAACAGGTGTGCTCCATGTCTCTCAACAGTGTTACATCCAAGGGCTCTTACATCTGATAAATGTTAAAATATCTCATTGAGAGAGAAATAGTTTCCTTCATGAACTTTTCCATCCCTTACTTTATCAGTTATTTCCCAGAAAATAAATGTTCTTATGAGATTCCTTATAAATATTACTGAATTTTTGTTACTTATGAGAAAAGGGAAATGTTAAATATAAATGTTTCTCAAAAAGAAACTGATGCCACTGATAAAGTAAACGAAGTGGTAAATGGTAAGAAATGTGGGTGAAAGAATTTGTGAGGGGAGATAGACATTACATTTCAGTGAAACATGTTTGACCTTTTAATGCCAGAAAAATGATACAATATGTTTTTAAAACGCAATCCCTTTTGGTTTAGTGCAGAACTGATTACTTTTGTGAATGACAGCGTTGTAACAGTATCAAACGCAAAGTGGTTAAGAACTTTTTTTTT